AAACTTAATCAACTTTTTTCGTGTCTCATAAATGATTTTAAGAGGATTCATGATTTTATTGTAAGTCTAATTTGGTAAAGTTATCAGTGCTTCGAGTCTTGTATAAAGGTGGGTCACCGTGCCTATTCAACTTTTAAGGCAAAATTCCTCTTTCTAAATTACTAGTCATAGTATGAATGGTATAATATAATAATTTTAAATTCCCTTTATAGTCAAAGCTATTTGTATATTTAAAACGAAAATATTAGGAAAGTATTGATGTAACGCCTTAAAATATACAAGACTTCATTTACATTTTTAAGCCGTTATAAAGTTTTCTTATTATAGCCGTATGTCGAAATCGAGAAATAAAACGATTTCTCTTTCATACAAAATGTATCTTTTAGAGTTAACTAGTAATCTGAAAGCGAATAGAATAGAGTTACTTTCCTAGTTATGTATGGCTTAGATTTATAAATGATTTATTAACCACCTTTAGGAAATGAGCATATCTTTGCATATTTACAAACAAATTTTTATTCATAAAGCAAATAGGTTCCATAAATTAGATTCATAATCCAGACAAAGCAGATTAAATACAAAATAACGAGAGAAATAGCTAGCTGAAATTTACTGCACATGATTCGGTATCTATCACTAGCTGTTTTAGATGTTGATTCGCATTTTTCTGCTATGTATCTAGATGAAAGATCACAAGCTGCGCCATAAAGTCCCCCTTAATCGCCTACGAAATAAGATGCAAACAATGAAATGCCACGTCAATTACAGGCTATGAAAGTCTTTTCATCGGAATGTCTATAGCCACTAAAAAGAATTACTTTTTAAGTTAAGCCTTTTTAAATATGAAACAAAGAAAGCAAATTGTATCTAAGGGGTTTCTGTGTACTAATGAAAAAATGCATTAAATTAATTCAGATAAAATACACTAGGTATACTATAAACAACGATAAGAGGCAAGTATCTACAGCAGAATCTGTCACAGAGATATATTTGATAAGATTATTTAATAAAAATATGTGCATAAAAGAGATCTTGTTGCGCATCCTTGTATAGACCATACATAATTACAATTACTATGAGAAGGGTTATTTCTTAATAGTATGAGAAAACTAGTGAGCAAATTGGAATTCTATATCAAAAGCTTCTCTAATAATATCATGAATATTTGAAGAAGTCTGATATTTTGCCCTCCTATTTTTAATTTATTTTGCATATATATAAGAATATATATTTAGGTCAATCCTATGCTGCTTTAATCTAAGTTAAGTAAAAATCTGCCTCGTAAACTTTATAGGAAAATAGGTTTATCTTCTTTCCTCTTGGATAATTAAATAATCTTCTTCTTAAAATGGAAATTTCTCAAAAATGATGGAATTCTAAATAATTCAATAAGTTCTCTGTAGTTATCGGATAATCTCTACGCATTATAGGAAAATAAAAAAACGAATATTTATAAATTCGACCATTGAAATCAAAATAACAAATATTCTTCACACTGCACGGATAAATTAATTTATTACTAATTGGATAGCTTTTTAGCACAAGTTTTGAACATGTAGATTAAAAACTAAAATTTGGAAAATATTTTTCTGCATATGACAACTATTTTAGCATTATTGTGAATGTATTTTAAAATGCCTTTTCATTTTTGACCTTAAGAAATTTTCATCATTGTAAATTACTCATTTATTGAGTCCATCTAGCCAAATTATATTATTTAAAACAGTATAATTAGCAATTATCTGGCTTAAACCTTTAGATATTGCGAAAAGTTACCATACAATCAATAAAACTAAATTATCATTTTATCTTTCTTTATTATTTGAGAGCTAATCTCTATAATTATGTGCTCTATATAAATAAAATGATGATTCTGCTCGTACTTAATTAACAGCGAAGAGCTGAATGCATTTTTTAACGGATTAATAAGCTAAAAGTTCCAATCATTTAGTTATATATTGTATTTGATTAACATATTAAAGCACTCGTTGATAAGATATATAATTCAGCATAAATTTTAGATGATAATTAGGCTATAAAAAACGATTAGCGAGAATAAAGGATGAGTTTTATGACGAACTTCATTATTCCTTAAATAAAAATATTTTCTTATTTAGTGTTCGTAATGGAGGAAGATTTTTAAAAAATCTAAGCTATTTCGGAAATCGCAATATTTGTCTTACTTATTATTTATAGTAAAGTTGTACAACTAGAAAGTAATTCAGGAGAGGCTCAAAACAGTAACTAATAAAATGTAAACCCTAGATTACAGATATGGTTTAGAGTTGCACTTTAGAGCGCCTGTAAGAAAAAAAGGAATACATTTCACTAGGACTTTTAATTAATTTTATCCACATAAATCTCTCTTCATTTCTCTTAATTTCATGGCTCATTTATTTCGCTGGTCATGATTTTTAATTTTTATCTGACATAAAGGAATATGGATTCAAATTGTGCTACAGGGTCTGCATATTAAAAAAAAAGAATGTCAAATATCAATTAAAATAAGAAAAGGAACTTTGAGAATCGCCTAATATTAAGTATACAATAAATTTACTCTCCACTTTATACAGGGTCATTTACAAAATTAAAACAGACACCTTCTTTACAATAAAAAAATATCCTAACATCATTACCTTAAGTCAAGGGCATATTTACTTTTCACATTGTCGGAACTTCAAGAAGGCAAAGATGTCTGCCTTAATTTGGTGCTTATCTATAAGGCCACTTAGTAAAAAACTTTAGATAAGCAGGTTTTTATTATAAGCACAAATATATTAAATAAGTTGGAATATAGTTAATCTTTGAACAAGCGATACAGTGTATTTTCTGTAAATTTTAATGTCATTTTGTTTTAGCCCAATTGATGCTATATCTTGCTTTTTTGTTAACCTTTTTATATGTTCATTGTAAATTATATCTTTAGATTTACCTGAAGCTGCTGCAAGGATGAATTATCCATTTTCCCTGTTGTTGTTGTCTTCGTCTTTCTTTGTTGAGTGCATTCTTTGTACCGAATAATTTCATTGCTAATTTGTTGTCAGAAGGCTGAAAGAACGATAGAAATTGCTCTTTGAGATATGCTGAAGCGCTGGTTCGAGCCTCATTTGAAGGACGCTCATCATTATTTTCTTCCTCCTCTTCCTCTCCTAGTTCTTCTGTTTCCGTAGTTGTCGCAACCGTAGAGGCCGATACCATCAATCGAGACTCATGCGTTTCATCCCTTTGGTTCTTATTTCGGATGTCATTACTAATCACTCTCCCACAGCAAACCTGTCTATCGACTAGACGTGAAGGCGTATCACCTGGTTTAATTCCAGATGCTTCCTCCGAATGAGGGGTCGCTAAAGCTATCCAGAGATCAAAGTCTTCGTCCGATTGAACCTGCACTTCTCGATGCAATTCATCAACTTGTCGTGTCCAGATATCCCGAATACGTTCACTGCCATCATTGGCTAAATCTGCCTGAATGCCCATGTCGCACAGGCTCATTGAAAATTGGACACAGCGATGGATATTTATCTCCCCTGATTCCAATGTAGTGGGAGTTATCTTGGCATTAATTGTGCAGGCGCCAGCGTTTAGGCCAGCAGAACTCGAGGCTGCATTTGTGGCAGCAATACTAGCCGAGAATGAGGTAACCTCTTGGCTGGAAATATGTTCTTTTAAGTGACTATCCGTCCGTGGGTTTGATCTATTGAGGCTTTTAGAGCGATAGAGACTCCTTGGTCTTCCAGTTTTACGAAAGATTAATTCTTCTTTGCATGGAGCCATATTACTCACAGCAGGAATTATTGAATTGCTGTGAACTAGTAAAGGTTTACGGGAATGGCGTCGATGAGGCTCTGCTATTGATGGGTCACCACCTGCCGCAGTCTTGTTGGTTTGTGCCAACGTTCGAAAATTGCCTTTACGCCTACGCATGGTCCATCCCAGCTCAGCTTTACGGCCTGAACCTAGAAGCGCCCATGTATTCATTTCAGCTAGACTACATGA